TTTGAACAACCCAACCTATTTTTTATAGTTTGAAAAATCATTGATAGAATATATTGTAATTTTAATTAAAATAAATTTTATCAAAAATATTTTTTAAATGTAATTATTTTTTTTTGTAAATATAAGTATTTTTTTGTTATATTTGTTTAGTTTTATATATCTAAATACTTTTTGGTTCAAAAAATATTCAGGGACTTGATCGTTCAAAATATAAATGTTCATTGAAGTTTTTTTCAAGTTTTTTCCATTATATCATATTAACCAATTGAATTGTATAGGTCATAAGAATGTATCTAGCAGATTTTAGAAAGTTCAAAAAAGTTATTTAACATGTTTTGAAATGTTTAAGGATTTATTTGTTCCAAAAAATTGTCCAATGACTTGATCATTCCATTGGATTTTTTTAGACTTTTTCTAATTTATTTCTGTAATTTTCTCAATTTAAGACCAATCACGTAATTTTCTTAAATCTCTATAACCAAAATGAATTCATTGTAATAATAAATAATTACTTTATAATAATAAAAAAAAAAAAAGGTTGTTGGATGTGGATAGAGATGACAAGAGTGTGAATTGATCGATATGACATCGCAACTATACATTTATTGAGCTTATCCTTTGCCTAATTAAAGTTGCAACCGTTTTATTCTAAAATGTGCGATATAAAACTTTTTATATGGTATCATCGTATCTAAAAATTCTTGGATCTGTTTGAAATGAAATCACGTAACACAGTTGAAAAGTACGTCTATGATTCCACCAAGCTAACAAACATACAATATAAAAGGTAAGCAATCTATGCCAGAATCGAAACATTGAGCTTATAATAACCCTATCCACCCCAAACTAAATCACTACATATATCAGCATCAATTCCTCCACCTATCACTACTCACTACCATTATAAATATTATAGAACTTTCAGGGGAAAACGTCTTACGGGTTAAAGAGATTTTGGCATATTATGGCCGAACCTTCTTTGCGCTGCACGATGGACATTTGTACTGTTTGATACTTTCGGCTTTCGCAGGTGTGATTTTCACACACTTGCCATGATACCACCTTTCGCATATGTCGCACCCAATCCAGAACTCGTCACCGCTGTAATTCCCACCACAGCTCCCACAAAGGGTTTCTCCATGCTCCTCTTCATCTTCCACGTAACTCTCGTCATAAGGCCTTGGAGTGCTTTTTACTTGCCCGTCACTTGACCGCTGGACCCAAAGTGCGTGTGTCGTTAACAGAGGAAAGAGAACGAGAGGGAGTATCAAGGATGTTAAAGTACCTTTGTGCTGGTCTTGGATTTGTTACCACCATCCATGTTCGGTTTGTCCTTGATGGGCTTTCGTTCTGTTACAACTTCAAACACAGTCGGCAGATCGTTTATCAGGCTGAATAGACGCTTCCTGTGCAAGTGAGATTCACAATGTTTAGCCATGTTATAACAAATCGGATTATCAGGCTGAATAGACGCTTCCTGTGCAAGTGAGATTCACAATGTTTAGCCATGTTATAACAAATTGGAGCTTCACCCAACAACAGACAAGAAATGAGAAATTATCAGGTGTATTACGAATATCTTGAATAAGCAACGAAAAAGAGTTGGCTTGAAATAATTTGTACTATAGTATAAAGCACTTGACAAGAACTTTTAAAAAATATATATACATAAAGTATTGTTTATTGATGCACATTACATAAAAATTCAAGATTACAAGTAAATTATATGCAAGTACAACTTATTAAAGCTCCATTTTTGAATTCACGCAGCTAACTACAGATAAACATAATCAAATACATGATAAACATCTCATTTTAAATATAAAAACTAAAATATGATTAGGATAATCATTGAGTTTTAATAGAATACTTAATTATTATCTTTGTAAAAAAATATTATTATACCAAAAATAAATTACTTCGTTATTGAACTTAAATTAAATTATAATAAAAAAGGAATTAAAAAATTATAAAAAAAACAAGAACTTTTAAATAGTTAATTTGATATTAATATCGATTTATGTATTTTTTCAAATTTTTATGATATCTTCAAATTTATATTTTATTCAAAAATAAAAACATTATCATTTTCTCAAACTACATAAGACCGTATTGTATCGACAGAGAAAAGAATAAATGAAACATTAAAATCAAGATGTATCTCGCTACATTGCGCGAGTACCTTCTAGTATTACTAGTAATACATAAATAAGTAGAGACCAGAAGGCCAGAAATGGGTTCTATGTGTGAATGGCATGTATGAGTTTGTTTGAACAAGAAGAAAATATGTTGTAAGGGGCCGTTTACCAAACGCTTACCCAGGTAAGCGCTTACCAAGTCACATTACCTTACCGGATGAATATGGTAAGGACCAAAAATCTTACCCGGTAAGAAGGAGACAAGGACCAAGAGTCTTACCCGGTAAATGAAGGCGACGACTCTTACCATGGTAAGCGCTTACTGGGTAAATTGTTGCATACAATGTTGTTTTTGTGGACAAAAATCTTACCTGGTAGGTAAGTGGTAGTGTTAAATTTTACCGATAAACGCTTATCGGGTAAATGTTTGGTAAACGGCCCCTAAGAGTGTTTTCATAGGTTAGTGGCGAACAACGGCATTGAGATTGTCATGGTGATGGATGCTGATCCAAAGATATCCAAAATTAAAGAAGATGAAATGCAGAGGATGATGATGAGTAGTATATTGAGGAACTAATATGGAGGAAATTTGTCTTTTCTCAATCGACTCTGAGGAAACAAATAGTTGGTTCAGCTTCCGACAGTTGCTTAGAATAACCTAGAGGTGTTGAGTTCGAATCTATGCTGTTATATCGGTCAGAATACGAAATATCGGTCAGGACCGATATTCGATATATCGGTTATATCGATGATATATCAATGACATATCGGTCCAAAATAGCGGTTAACATAATATTTCTTAAAATTATATATATATAATATGCATTAATTAGAGTTTAGAAATATAGTTTCAAAATTAAAACATCACATCATCTAAAGTGTTCAAAAAACGAGCTAATATAAAAGAAAGAAGAAGACTTTTGTGGAGGCAGATCAATTTCAGACCTAATTTAAGTTACCAAGCCCAAAAAACTAGGCCCATGAAGTAACAAAAGCCCAAATATTTAAACCCTAAAAAATCGATATATCGGTCCGATATTTGCATCAAAATATCGCTAAAAATCGGGAAAAATCGGAAAATATCGCCGATAATATCGGGGACGATATTTTGACCGATATTTATGGACCGATATTTTCTCTAGGAGCGATATCCGATATATCGCCGATATTAACAGCATAGGTTCGAATCACACCCATGGGTATTGCCGTACTGCCCAATAAGTTACCAAGGGTGTACCGATGGGCAGGTAAGTAGGTAACAAAAGTTTTACCCTCACTGATGTGGTTTCCTGAGTGTTTCTTGTAAACTCCAAGGACACAAATAAGCGTTGTAAGCATGGTCATTTGCAAATCATTCCAACATATTAGTTCATATTAATAATCACAGGATTTTTTGGAGTAAAAAGGGGGGAGGGGCTGCATGTTAGTCAAAACGGGTCTCAGACTAGTGTCGTTAGTTCCTGCAATTTGGTTAGATGAAATCATTTCAGTCACTTAACGATTAACATGGTGGGGCTTGATTAGTTCCTGCAATTTGGTTAGACGAAATCATTTCAGTCACTTAACGATTAACATGGTGGGACTTGTATCTGATTATGTGTGTTAGCTTTGTTCAAATGCTTGATCACTTGCAAGGTAGGTATTATCTTTCACCATTGGTTTCTCTGCCCTCCCTATTATCCTTCTACCAATACTAAATTGAGTTCCACAAGAGAGTAGTTTGTACATGGGTTTCAAGAATATACTCTCTACTAATATGAGCTATTTTAACCCCACTTCGCTCAACAGAGTATAGATGGAAAGAATCTGTTACAGAGGTCGTAAAACTGGCTACATAGAATCTAATACCATCAAACAGAAAGAAACCACTTCTACTATATCCACTGCTTTTTATTCCCCAAACAGTAAATGAACCTTTTGACCATCAACAGCAGTGCCCCAACATGATCTATAACAGAAAGCTTAGGGCACTGAACTCTTTTTTGCCTACTGAAAACTTGAATTTGATAAACTAATAATTATGTTTGGTTAAATCTTAAACTACTAAGGGAACATGACAGCAAGATTGATCAAAACATTGGGTATGACTACAAAGGATAAGGAAATTATGAGCATGTAGCTACTTCTCTTGTACAAAAAAGTTTGATAAAGTAAACATTTTTGCAACACATGTGTGTGTACACAATTGCATCTACGTATATGTCAAAGCAAAACTCCACATTTCAGCACCTGCAATGAACAAAAACTCATAACTAAAAAACTCGCAATCAGGGGCAGAGCTACATAGAGGCCAGGGTGGCTCAGTTGTAAAAAGACAAATTTTATATAGACTCAATCCCTTAATCTTCTATTCCCCCTCATCAATTACCGGGCTCCCTCTTATACACAAACACGACCCAGCATGGCAGCACCCCTGTCCGCTGCTAAAAGCATATTTGCTCACATACCGATTTTTTTCTTGCGATTTGCTAATAGTGATGTTCTTATTAAGAGCCAAACTCTTATTTTTGACCTAGTTGCTAATCATCAGTTGGTACCAAATTGCTCATTGCTTTGCATTGCTAATTTGCTACAAGTCAGCACTGAATTTAGACGACCCCAAAGATCAACTATGACAGGGTCAAGGGCCTGTTGAAATCCATATCAAACCTTTTTGATGTTGTTGAGTGTGAAGCATGTTTTAGTGAATAAAGGGGGAATTTTAACCTATAAACTCTGAGGTATTCCACCATGCTAAATGTTTGATGAAAAGAATGTTCTAGTTTTTGTTACTATATCGAATTTATTCAATCGCCCGTGTTTTACTTGTCACCATTTCTATCTCTGCAAAGGAAAATTATGACAGCAGAGTACAGAGTTGATCCAAAGGACGAGTTAAATACACCATGCCTTTCTTACTTGATTTCTTCCGATACCTTCTTCTTTCTTGATAATGTCTTGCCACTTTAGCAGAGTATACGCTTCCATATCTTGGGACTTACAAGTGATGAAGCTACCACTAAAACTCCGACATTGGCCATCAAATCACTCAGTAGGTGCTATGATGAGGGTAAAGCTGTAGTTTAAACAACAAATTACTAGCCCTCTTGTCATCATGGAGAGTTGCGGAGTTTTTAGTTTATTCACATCTTGCTCGAATGCAAGTTGCTGATCACTAATTTGTTGGGACCAGATTGCTAATTGCTTCGTTCAATTGCTCCTGCCTCCTTGAAACCACCGATTTAGAATCAAGCAGTTAGTTGTAGTTCCTTTTAAACACAATTCTTGGCCACATATGTTGGTATAGTTGTGCTAATTGCTCATTGGCTGCACATATTGATTGCACAATTTTTGCCCCACAGGAATTTAGTGCTCTAGCTAAACTTAAAAGAGGACCTCCCTGAATCCAAATCCTGCCCATGTGCTCTGTCTATTAAGACAAGTCACCGTTTGATGTTGAATGTTCTCCAGCATCATCATGTGGACTAGGCGCTTTACCTTACATATTAGGAGCATAACTCTAGTCAAATTGGTTTGAAGAGGAGGAGCTTGAAAGTGGCCAACCAAGTGAAGAAGAAGGTGGCGACGGCGATGGTGAAGGCAGATGAGAGGAGGAGGGGAAAGATGGTGAGAAGGTAGAAGATGGGGAGGAGGGAGATGAGTCTGTAAATGGGATGAGACTGACGGGGAGAGCGACGGGATCGAGTGGGAGGAGGAATTGAAGGAGCGTGAGATGAGCAGCCAGTTGGAGAAGTGGGAGGGTAAAAATGGAACAACTTACATCTGAACCATTTAGGAGCACCCTAAACACAAAACCGTTAAGAGGATAACTCTCTTCCTTGAAACTTTAGACTAAATTGGTTTGAAGCCACTATGATTTGAGTAGACAATCTAAAGCTTTATCGCAGTTAAAGCATCTGGAAAGTCTAAGATCAACCACTGTGAAATAACATATTTTCAAACGCAATCACTTATTAATACTTAGAATGCCTCCAGATTAAGTGATTAACCATGAAATAAGTGCTTGACAAACGAAAGTAAACATTGGCCACAAGGAAAGATAAATCTGATTTCTAAACATGTTACATTAGTGCAAATAAGCTAGAATGTACACATCCTTAAATGAATCTGGGGACGTGAATATGTCAGATGTAGCTGTGGAAACAGAAGGTTACCTCTCATTCCTATTAAGGCGGGCACCAAAGTAGAAAGCAACAGCTAGCAACCAAGAATCTGTATGCACAGCAATCAAAGACAGCCAGTCTCTTCTGTGCATCCCATCTCTGGCAAAATTAATCCCCAATGCAGGTTCTGGAAGCTCAGGAGGGACTTCCTCTGCTGGCAGTGTTACTTCCCACGTCTCATTCGGATGCCCATATAAACATAAATTCTCCTTCTCTACAGGTGAAATTATCAAATTAACTATGTTTTAGTACACAATAACCAAACAAAATTCTATCTAGCTAAACAGAAGGACCCAAGAAGCAAATAGGAAAATTATCATACTACTATCTTGTCCCTACTTCACTATTCATCAGCTATTCCACAAAATAGTAACAATATGACCTCTCAGAATTCACATTGTGCGCCTGTTGTCCCAAAAACTAGAATCCCAATTTGATTTCTGAGATTCCAACCTAGTATTTTAGGGAGGTCAAGCTTACAAATAGAAAATTCTTATAAGATAGTTTACACCTCAATATTTCTAACCGTAAGAATTAACTCATTTTCCAATGTATTCACAATTTTTTTACTCAATAATGAACTGGATCCTATCAATTTCAAGTTAGATATATAAGATTCATAGATTTAAATTGAAAGGTGTACAGTGATTCAGGGATATGGAGACTATTTATTTTTCTGTACTTCCAGTTACAAATCTTGTGGCGACAAAATTTCAAATAAAGTTTCGCTGAGAATGTACATAGATGCAACAAAAGACCACTAGCCTTTGTAAGTGGGGAATCTTTATAAACTAGTTCTGAGGAGTACTTAAAAAACCGCCCTAAAGAAATATACGCTTTGACTTTCAGACCACAAACAATCACTTTTCAAATTCCCAATTTAGACTTGCTTTTAAAGACAGTTTTCATAACATTTAGAAATTTATCACTTCTCGAGTTCCAAATTGACAAGATTCAATTCTAAACCAAACACGACCAGTTCAGTGTAACATTATTTGTACAGATTAATCATCAACCTCATATAAAAAACCTATGGAATTCATATCAATTTTGAAGTTGATAATCACTAGTTTTAACTACTACTCTTTATAATCGATGGAGTAGAACACATGCAATTGAAGATTCCATCATGCTAGTAACAGATAGCAAAATTAAATTCCTAAATCATGTATGTGAGGGTGTACGTGAAATAAACCTGGATCGCAAGTTGAGTAAAATTCATCGACATCTGCGAACAAGCGACAAAAAACGAGTTAATTAAAAATTAAAAAAATCCTAAAACAGGACCCTTTAAATACGAAAAGAAAGAAACAGTAAAAACAAGCGTTGTAAGATAACATGTCCATACCGTAAGTGAGAGCTCGTACGATACCAGAGCGTCGAGCACTGTAATCCTTGAAGATCTCCTCGACGGTGCGCGGGCTTGAAGATATCGTAGCCATTATAAATAGTAAACAGAAACAAAGGTTCACAGATCTGAGAAACCGGTTGATGAGAACGGACTACAGATGGATGAACGGTGGAAATTGTTCCGCCATGGATGGATTTGGAGGTTGTGTTAGAAGGGATCCGACGGTTTGTTAGGGCAGTTGGGCGTCAGAAGGAGGGGACAAATATGGTGAAGAAGTAGCTATCTAAAGGAATTTTGACCTTCATTACGGATTTGATTAATCACAGCCGTCGAAACTTTTTCGTATATTTTTATTACAAAATCCAGGGGCAGGAGATCTCTTCTCAAATAGCGTGCGTATGGATTTTATATTATTACGCTCACCGCCTTATAATTTCTGTAAATGACACTCATGGCCCTCTAATATTGTATTTATTTCATTTATGCCCCTATACTTTTTCTCGCCTCTTCATAATTATTTAATATTCGGCTTTCTTATGGGCCGTCTGGAAAGAGCTTAATGAACTTAATAAGTCTTTAGCTATGCAAATTGGCAAGGAGCTTATTTGCTCAACTTCTATAGGTAAGCTTGATGCGAACATATCAAATATGTCCAACCTTATCCTTTACAAAGATACATATTATGAAAAAGTCTTTCACTACTCAAGATTCTCACATTTCTCAATCAAAATCCATGGATGCTCATCCAACCCTACCCCCTTACTACGGTACCAGAGTGAATATGATCTCCAGCAGACATACGTAATGCACAATCAACGGAGGCCTCCCCGACATATCTTGCAACGTCTTCAATAGCATGCTCTTACTTCGTCTTTCCATGTGCGCCTATCCTTGTCGAAAAAAGAACAAGAGAACGGTGGTGGAATGCTTAGAGCTAGTGATGAAAGGGTTATTTGCTTACCATTCTTTGTGATTGCTTATTCGATTCCTAAAAGTGGCTTAAAAGCGTAGATGGATCAATCACGCGGTTCTACGGCGTCCTCCAACTCGTTGTTGCTCCCCTTCCCTTTCTTTGCTGGACGGGAAGATGCACAAACCAAATATCTCTAATAGTATCAATTTTTGTGATGATGATAATTAGAGACGTAAATAAACAAAACATTCAACAAATCATTCAAAGGAAGTTCGTTTAGTTAATAAACGAACGAATATAAACAAGTTTTTTATTTGTTTATGAAACAAACGAACATAACAAAAGTCTCATTTGTTTATTTACCGATGATAAAGTTAAAAATTGAACATTTAAAAAATTAACAATTGAATAATAATAATAATAAAGAGTTCAAATTTAAAAAGTAAAAAAAGCAATGACTTACCCTCTCACGGGCTCTTTATAGAATTGTTTTGTCTCCTTTGTTTTCTGTAAGATTTCGATGTGGGAGGAGCCCCAAATAAGAAGTGATGACAGCTCACGTTTGCTGAGGGGTGAGGACTGATGATTTCATCCCACATCGGTGATCTTTGCAAGCAATCACCCTCATACTCTTATATATGTATAATATACACACTTTTGATCCAACATCGGATAGTTAGAACAATTCCTTCTTGTATTTTGTGTATTTATTATTATTATAGCGCATGCAAGAGGTTCATTTCTATGTCCCAGCCTATTGGCTTGAGACCCCGCAAAGAGTTTGGTTTACATATAATTTTTAAGGATGAGTTTGATGTCAGGTTGTTGTTTAATGTTTGGTAAGAATTTTATAACATGAATACATATAATTTTTAAGTGTGTGTTTGGTGTCATGATAGAATAAACAACTGTTCAATATTTAATAAGATAAAATTAGATAAAACAGAACAAATAAAATGACCAATTTATCTTTAATTAATTTTTTATTTTAATTAATTGATATAATTTATTAAATTATAATAGAATAATTATTTTATATAATAAAATAATATTAATTTGAAAGTTTTCGTCAAAATAATTAAAAGAACATCAAATAAAAAGTTTATATAGTTTCTAATTTTTTTTTTCTTTTCTACATTATTTTTTATTATTAATATATAATAAATTACATAAGTTAATAGAAACACAAAAATCGTATAAAAATAATATTTTAAAAACAGTAAAATGAAAGTTTAAGAAACATAAAATACAATAAATAAATTTAAAAAATGAATAAAATGTAAAAATGAGACCTATTTGATGTTTTAGAAAATATATAAGTTTTATTTTAAAGTTATTTTGGTCAAATATAAGTGTTTTCCACCTTGTTCCACCCTATTCCATGAAACATGTCTGTTTCACTTTGTTCCACTATGTTTCTGTCTGTTCCACATAAAAGTTATGTCAAATATGGGACAAAGATTTCTGTCTTGTTCTATCATGTCTTATCTAGTGTACCAAAGGCACCTTAAACGAACAAACTTTGAACACCAAAATTTTTTATTATCCACCATTTGTGTTTGTTTGATTTTTTGATTAGTTAAACGAATAAACAGGAATAAAGCTTTCGTTCATGGTTGTTCAAATCATTAAAAAGACTAATGATGATAAACAAAAAGGAGTTAATGTTTACACGAAGGCTATGAAGCATGAACTTCATCCCATACATATTTACATCATAAACAAACAAGTTCCATAATTATTAATTCGTCTAAAAAGTACAGATCAAGTGTATTATAAAATCACATAATACTATCACTATTACTATTACTATTACTATTACATACATGTATTATACAGCACAAAAACCCCTAAAACAACAAACCATCACTTCACACCCCTGAACTTCCACAAACTACTTTCCTATACTTGCTACTGCTAGCTAGCTGCTACTGCTACATTATACACTTCATCAGCTCACTATAATTTTATCAGGAAGAACACCGCCGCCGCTGGGTTGCTCCTCCGCCACCTCACCGGCAATAAGTTTCACCACCGAGTGAGAACCAAGATCGTACTTCCTCCCAGCTTCTGCAAATGCTTCGCCAAGGACCTCCTTGATCCAATCCTCAGTCTTCAACGTTTCTAGAAAGCATGAATTTTTTAGAATCTGTTCCATCAGTTTAAAATCGATTTCCAGCAAACAATCCAACCCAACACTTTTCTCAAAACAATCGCCGATTTGTTTCAGAATCTTCTCAGCAACTGCATCGAAGTCAAACGGCTTAAACACCACCTTTTCGTCCACATTTTGGAGAAGATCTTCCAACCATGAATGTGAGTTCTCAGGGGCAGAGTCGTAATCTGTATCACCCTCTTCCGCAGGCAGGTTCAAGTCCAGGTACAGGTTATTGGTGGTGGTCCGGTGGCCTCGTTTTGCAGCCTCTAAGCTGCCATCCAGCTTCCTTTTGTTCTTGCAGACCGGTGAACCAGTGTGTTCATTTCTTGTAACACGCACGGCTTTCGGGCTCGGTTTCATGTCACCGAGGTCGAACCCGGTCAACAAACGGATGGACCCGTGTTTAGCTTTTAGAATTATTTCCTCCGTATAGTCAACACCCTCGAGCTCGTGTAATCCGAAGAATTTCGAAGTTAGCACAAAGATTGCATTGCTGATGCTTACTTCTCTGCCATGAGAGTCCGAAAACCTCCTGGTACTTGCAGCTAGAGATAAATGATGCTGAGTCAGCGTATCAGCCATATCGACGTTTTCAAGGAAAACAACCGATAACTGTTTCTTCATCAGTTCATCCGCGATGAAATCAATAACGTTTTTCCCTCGCAACTTTATATCAAAACCGTCCATAAAATCTTGACAACTTAGATCAACACAGATCATGTTCTCCCTGCCTCCGAGCAACACCTCAGCAAGAGCGACCGAGATTTTCTTCTTAGCGTCTCGATCTGGTCCCATGAATCCGAACCAGATACCACCCTGGTTGGATCCAGGCCGAGTCCTGCAACGAGCTATGGTTTGGTTAACCACACCAAGAGCCTCTCCTTGTCTGCCAACCTTTGTGAACAGGGAAGAATACAGCAATTTCAGATCTTTCTGATCAAACTGGCCACGGGATACTGGAAAAGAGGAGGATGAACGATTTACTCCCAACCCCAGATCAGTAGTCACGGACGTCCCTGACACTGGAGATGCTGTATCTTCACTTGAACCTGAAAGGCTGCAAACAATTGGTGAATCTTTAACGTTCTTGGAGTTTGATTTTGATATTGTAATGCTTCCACTTTCGATTGAAGATGCATTGTGATCGCCAACATTTTGCTTCGAGCTTTCAACGACTTGAAAGCCGACAACTGAGGGAACATGGGGTCCAACTGTGTATGTCGATTTAGGTAACATCTGCACGTAAGGTTCACCTTGATGAAGCCGCTGACAAATATTATGCCATTTCTTTTGCAGCCCGATGACTTTAGCACTCGCTACAACAGGATCATCTTGGGCCTGCGCTGAAACGATTCAATCGGTTTTCATATGATCTATAAAAAGTTTAATCCATATGCTTGATTGTTTTACTCATTTGTGTACGGCTATAGAAACAAACTGTTGGATATGAACTCCTATTTGATTCGATCGTAAACTAACAGTTATCCATTTTCTATCGCGATTTCTTTATGTAAATCGAGTATTGCTCAATTGCATGACAGAAAAATCAGAAAGATGTAAGAGGAATCTTAAGATTATAGCAATGCATACCTGCACCACATCTTGGGATGTCCGTAACCAAGAGGGCAAGCTGGATCGATGGTGATCTGAAACCGAACCGTTGAGTCCTTTAGAAACAGCGTTCACTTCAAGTTTAAACTTTTCATCACAAATGTGACATAAGGATCCAAAATGGTTCCGTATCCTAAATGGGGTTTTGATATCAGTTGGCACAGAAAAGAACCCTCCAAATGGAACGAAGGACTCCATTAGACTGCAAATATACCAAAAACATGCAAAATTATGGTAAGATTTTACTTATGTTTGAATATTTAAACAAAAATTGGACCTTTTTTGGCTGATGATTCAAAAATCACCTGGATTTTGGGAATGTTTCTGCCATGGCAGGTCTGATGGAATTGATGGGAAGAACATGAAGGCCCCACTCTTCTTCAACAGTAGGAAATTTTTTGAAAAATTGAATACAAGTTTCATGGCTTTCTGCAGCTCCAATCAACCAGAATCTACCACTATGAAGCGACAGTAAGCCACCCAATTTTCTGATTAGAAAGGTAACAGCATCTGCAGAGTTTTCACCGATTAAAGCCTTCAAATCACCATATTCGACGATCACACCAGGCCCTATGCTCTGTTTCAGAACACTACCAACCTCATCTAACCTCATTTGCAACAAGCTCACATCAGAATTCCCACTAACAAAGTTAAGAATTTCATCTTTAATGCAAATTACAGTTAATCCGGATAATTCTGGTGGAGAAAACGCACCATTTTTTCTTTTCTGTAAGGTTTCTAAGAAAATTCTAACTGCATCAATGGCGGATGCACCAACAAGCAGTGGGTTATTCCGCCTTTTACCTGGTTTTCTAACGAGAACTTCGTTGATTCTTTTATAGATTTCGTTGTTTTCTAAGAACCCATGATATGGAAAACCGTAATTATTAGTTAAATTACAGAGAAAAATCGGCAGGCCTTTACAACGAAGGAGTTGACGTTGAATGGGTCGGAGTATGGATAACTTGATATCTGAACTCCGGAACCCCGATTCTGCAAATACCCGACTCACAACCGGGTCATCCAGTATCGACAGAATCAAATTCTGCAACTCAACTTTCACCACCGAAACCGAAGCCGACGACGGAGAACACGCCGCCGTTTGCTGATACAAATGAAAATTCTCCGGTTGTCGTCTCTGATTCGCCTGAGATCGTTTAATCGCCGCCATGAGCGAGTTCGAAACCGGCGGCTCCTCTACTCGCTGCGGTGTCGACGGCAGCCGATCTAAAGACACACCTAACCGAAGCTCCAGCGCTTTGAACTGGATGCGTGAAGCATACGCACTGTTCCTAGCGCGTCCACACGCCTCCCGAAGTGGAGATGAAGCGAGTGATAGTAAAGCTGACACAGCATGAAGCGACGACGTTTGAGCATGGCAACGACGGTGAGCTACGGCCACCGCCTCATCCAAAGCTTGAACTGCCTCCGGAGCTAAGCATTGCCTGGCTATATTTACCGGCGTCGGCATCCCTGAGTGCCACCACCGGTGAAGAGTGAAGCGTGTGGAATTAGTATTAAATTAATAATCTAAATTAATCAATTAAAGAAGTCGAAGAGAAGGGAGAAGGAGGAGGAGGAGGAGGACAAATGGGAATATATTTAAAAAAATATATGATTTTGGGAAGTATATATAATAAAACCCAAGCATACAAAAAGTGTCCATTTTCAAAATACTTGATTTTTTCTTTAATAAATGAAGACCAACCATCGGTCACTGTCCTGTAAATCTAATTAAAATTAATGTATTTATTGCGTCAAATTTATTAACTTTTTATAAAGGGTTGTGGGTGGTGGTGGTGTTGGATGGTGGCGGCGGCGGCTGGTGACGGTGGCGGAGGAGCCTTTTCGAGAATGTCGAGGGGTGGGGGTATAGATTCTGGAGATCTTTGGTTTTGATAGAAGCTTTTTGAAGAGGGGGAAAGGTGTGAGAGGCATGTGTGTGTCTTCACATGAGACATCCCTTTAGTGGGAAAGTCATGGAGCATCCCACAATTATTATACCAACTTCTTTTAACATTTTAAATATTCCATATATATATATATATATATAATATATATTTAACATAAATATCATCGAATTTCGTATGTAATCCAAATCGTACTGGTTTTTATTTGTAGTTGTAGTTGTACGGATCATCAACTGGTATTAGATTTAACAGCTAAACAGTCCTTCAGTTTTCATGATCGGACTTGAACATGTGACTTTTGAAGTGCAAACTCAAGATATTATCAATTAGGTTATTCCTCGATATTTATGAATATTATTAATAACGTTGTGTTTTTAGGTCAGTTTACATACCCATCAATCAATCCTTAAGTTAAACTGGCTAACAAACTATTAATGTCTTCGAACTGTAGACCAATAAGATGCAAATTAGGTCTGTTGGTTGTAGGCCTATACCTTTTTACTAAAATCCAATTAAGACTGGAATCTGGACGAACTCATCTATCACCATTTAAAAAATGTTTATTTTTCAATTATAGTGTTTTTTTTTTTCTTTTTGAAAAAAACCATTGGCACAAGATACCAGTAATGAAGCACATTTTTTTCCATTCACTAGAACAATATCTTTAATATCTTCCCATCAATTGGAGGATGGTTCACTTTTGGTTTATTAGAGCTACTCACCATCTTTATTATTATTTTTTCTCTCTACTTCTAAATTTAAAGATTTTTTCTTTTCTTTTTCATTTTTTTTATTTTAAATGAGGGTTTAAAATACTTGTTAGAGAAAAAGTTTTTCTGAATCTTCAAAAAATTTAAAATAACGTACCTGTTGAGGACTATCTAATTGTAACTCAATATAAATATTTTTTTTTTAAAGATATAATATTTAATTTAAACATATAAATAAAAAAATAAAAATCATAGAAGGGTTTTTTTAGTTGGTTTTCCCTTCAATTTTCTATATAAAAAAAAGTGTTTGTGTGAATTAATTTGTCTTTCAAGATTGGAAATGTTCTTTTCATAAATAGAAGAGTAAACTTAATTTTGGTTATTAAGGTTTAATGAAAAGTCTGAAAGTAAGACATGAACTTTGATAAGTTAAAAATCGTCCTTGTGGTTCTCATTTTACTCTGAAAGTGGTCCCTAGTTATTAACTCCGTTAATAATCTTAGTTAGAGTGAGGGGTAGTTTAGTCTTTTTCATGTTTTTACTGAACTTTTTTTAAAATAAAAAAACATTTTTATCTCATATTTTTGGTCCCCCTTTTGAAGTCCTTGCACCGGTTCCTTCCCCAGCAGTTCCCCCTCCGATGACTTGCAACAAGATGAGCGTCCTTCCCTTTGATTTGACCAACCCTCACCGCTGTTGTGACATAGACCCTCTGACGTTGATGAACCTCCCTCGTCTTCCTCATCAAAGTGTTGATCAACTGAATTTGTTTCATCTTCTTCTTTGAAAGCTCTGATGAAATCAATCTCCCCTTTCCTCATTTGTCTCGTCTCTTGCAACTCCCCCTCCTCCGATGAACCACGCCCTCCATCTCCATTTCGAGCTTCACCCAAATCCACACCTACCAGGATCATTTTCAGAGTAAAATGAGAACCACAAGAATGATTTCAAAACTTATCAAAGTTCAGGTCTCACTTTCAGATTTCTTACTAAACCTCAAGGACCAAAAAGTTAGAGTTTACTCTAAATAGAAAGAACATGGTTTTATTTTGGAAAATGACATATTTCGACATAAAACTTTCTCATGGAAACTTCTATATCATTAAGACACTAACAAACAATCATGTACGATTAGGGCTGTAAACGAACCGAACGAACATGAACGGAGGCTTGTTCATATTTGTTCGTTTAACTTAACTGAACAAACGAACGAACACGAACGAAAATCTTTGTGTTCGTGTTCGTTCGTTTAGAAATAAGGTGTGTTCGTGTTCGTTCGTTTAGAAATAAGGTGTGTTCGTGTTCGTTTATGTTCGTTCGTAAACATGCTAAACGAACGTAAACGAACGAACGGGCTAAACGAACGTAAACGAACGAACGGGCTAAACGAACATAACTAAATATTATTTGAATTCAAAGTAAATAAATAAAAGATAATATATTAAACTTAATATATAAACGAACATAAACAAACGAATATAAACGAACGGTAAATGAACGAACGTTCACGAACATAAATAAACGAACGAGACTTTTGTTCATGTTCGTTCGTTTAACTAAACGAACAAAAAAATAGTTCATGTTCGTTCATTTATTAAATAAACGAACTTTCCACTGAACGGTTCACAAACGATTCGCTGAACGTTCGGTTCGTTTACAGCCTTATGTACGATCGACTAATAAACTATAATTCTTATTAAATTGCGAAGAAAAAGGATGATTAATTAATTATAAAAAAAGAAAAAATGGAATAAGATTTGTTTAGGCTTTCCCCTTCCAAAAGGGTTGCCTTTATAGTAAAGACAGGTGGGGGCCATGATGCTTTATAGGTGGGGGCCACTTCTATTTTCTCATGGGATCGCTTCATTCTCTTTGAGCCGACAGGTAGGAGTCAACTCCACACATTCATCATTCCAACCTTAATTATTGCATCTCTTGCTCCAATATTTTTGCTAATTATCGATAAATCTTTTAACTCATTAAAAAGGTATTCGTATAATACATCAACATAAATCTCGATTTTAATGTTTAGTTTTTATTTTTTATTTTTATCAATATAATATAATTTTATATGATTTTTAAAAAAAGATAATGTTTTTATTTTTAAATTAAAATATAAAATTGAAAA